CACTAATACATAAAAATTATCAACATTTTCTTCTGGCATTATCAGCATAGAAAATTTAAACTTTGTTGCTTATCATGTGGTACGGTGATATTGTACCAAATAGACAAATAACCTCAGTTTAATTAGACAGCAAGAAATCAGGCTTGATTAATATTTACATATGAACCCATCACCCATCTCTTCTCAGCACCAGTGGCCGCTAAATATTTGGGTTAATGAAGTAATCCAAGTATATAAATTTGACCTTACATGAGTCAACAACACTCTACTTGTCAGTTTCATTTCATTTGTAAAATGAGGGGGATGGATTAAATAACCATTTGTTCTCACCAGTCCTATTTCAAAAATGTACAGAGACCTTTTCTATTTAATACTTTCCACTTAAGAACTTTCATGGATATGATGAGTAAAACTACAGTACAGAGTAGCAGCACCTGAACTCTGTTTTACACTGGCAACACTGATTTTGTAGTTATTTTCATCTCATTATCATAGTACCTACAATTAATTTGCTATGTTTGTGCTACTTCATATTGGAGCTATTTTATATACACCTCAGATCTAAAGATAAGGCAAAAGGGTGTCAAGAGTTATTAAGAGAAGGCATACACAAAACAATAATGAATGACAGAGTGAAAAAAATCAGAATAAATGCTTCATATATATCTTTGATAAAGATTGGACGAGAGAAAGCGTTCTGAAGGACAAAGAGCAAAGCCAGCTGTAAAGAAAAGTACTTTGACCTTGCAATCAAGAAAAGACAAAGACTGATAAAATGTCCTATTATATGGTATGAAATCTAACTGCTTATTAGTACCACTTGGAGCTTAAAAAGCCATCACTGCCCAGAAATTTGGATTTAACTGGTCTTGGCATCCGTAGTTTCCTAAAACTCTCTGGAATTTTTTTTTTTTTTTTGAGATAGTGTCTCGCTGTGTTGCCCAGGCTGGAGTGCAGTGGCATGATCTTGACTCACTGCAACCTCCACCTTCTGGTTCAAGCGATTAGCCTGCTTCAGCCTCCCAAGCAGCTGGGACTAAAGGCACATGCCACCATGCCCAGCTATTTTTTTTTGTATTTTTAGTAGAAACGAGGTTTCACCATGCTGGTCAGGCTGGTCTTGAATGCCTGCCTCAGCCTCCTGGAAGTTTTTATTTGCAATCAGTATTAAAAACTTGGTTAGAGAAGATCAGTACCCACATCAGATTCCTATTAGTCTAATGCAGTGGTTATCAAAGTGTAGTTCATGGAACCCTTTCATGGGTTCATGAGGTAAGAACTATTTTTATAATACTAAGATACTTGCTTTTCAACTGTGATGCCATTTTCATGCATCACATTTTCATGGGTGATGCAAAAGTAATACTAGCAACAGAATTATTGTCTAAACTGCTACTGCCTCACCCACTCCGGACATATAAACTTTGCTTTTCTTCTTAAATTTTTTGTGCAATTAATGGTATTGTTGCATAGTAGAAAGGGCACAGTATTTGGTGACAAATCTGTTAAGTTTAAATCTTAGCTTTGTCATTTATAAGCAGCATAATCTTGGGCAAGGCACTTAGCACTCTGCAGCTGTTTCTTCATATGAAATATATGGCCAATAAGTCTTTAATAAAACCTTGTATGTGAAACACCTGTCAGAGTAGGTGCTTAACCAATACAGTAAGTCCTCACTTAAGGTCATCCATAGGTCCTTGGAAAATGCAACTGTAAGCCAAAAGATGTGTAATAAAACCAATTTTACTATGGGTGAACTGATATAAACAAGAGTTAAGTTCTGATGGCATATTTCTGGTCACAAAAACATCACCAATCTTCCAAATAAATATCAAAACACTTCTGATATAAAACTCTGAAATAAATGTGAGTTATACATTCACTTAAGAAAGATTAATAAAAACAAGTAAGACAACTGGCTATTCATCCACTATATCAGTTCAGTGTTGAAGGTGCCAAGAGCCATCCCAGTAGCTTGGAGCATGCAACAACATTCCAGTGCAGAGCACTCAAACTGCGAGAGTGTAGACACCTCAACAAACCTAATGTATACATCTCTGGGATGGCGGGGTGGAGAGAACCGGAGTTCCCAGAGAAAATCCATGAAGACATGAGAAAAGACAAGACGACAACATGCAAAGTCCACACAGCAACTGGGAATGGAGTTTCTTCCTCATAAATGTTATCAAAGATCTGCTGTATTTCTTTCCTGTCCAATAAATCATCCAAGCTGGAGCTGTGCTTCATCACCCTTCACTAAGTACCTTCAAAATCATTTTCATAGTTTTCCTTTCCTTTCAACCCAACTGCTCATCAGAGTTGAGACATTCAATCATCATATAACTGAATTACTGTACTTGTTTTCAAGCTGGTCTCCCAGATTCTAATCTTTCTCCATTTAAATATACTCTCTCCATGCTGTTAGCAGTTGGTTTTCTAAAATGCACACCTTTTATTTCACTGCTCCAAAGCCTTTATCAAGTAAGGAATTAAATATCATCAAAATATAAAGTCTTTGGCATGGCACAAAGCTCTTCAAAATCCGGCCCCAATCTTTCTAGCGTCACATATCACCAGCCTACTATACTTAACTTCTTTTCTTTTATTCTTGCCACATTGAGGCTTCATGCAACTATTGAACTTCATGCCTTTTGTTTCCGTAACTGCCATTTCTTTCTCTATGGGACAGAGATCTCTAGCTAATGACTTCATCCCAAATACTCAATCTTTAAAATGCAGGTGAGAGAATTACTTTCTTGCTTGGGGACATCTCCCAAGCAGTTCCCAGCCAATACTACTCCTTCCACTGCATTTAATTATTTTCTACATATCTTCTGCTTTGAGAGAAAATATTTCACACCTATCCTCTGAGATTCAGTTTAATTATGAAATGTGAGCAGTCATTCCCACTTTGCAGAGTTTGTGAAAATCACTTAGCACCACAAGAAGACGACATGAACGTATACTCCCTTACAGTTAACCAAGTAAAGGATGGGAACGAGGAATGATTCTAACCCTGTTTGGCTCAGTCTAAACCCATGCTGTTTCCACTACATGCTACATCACAACAGACAACAGATGGAATTTATTTATTTAATAATCTCCCCCACTGGACTGTGAAATCCTTGAAGACATTGAGCATGTTTGTATCTCCAGACTCTTAATGGAATACTAACTCTAGTTAGCACTGTGAATGTAGATTAAATGTAGTTAGCACTTAGTCTATAGGAACTCTGCCTAGAGAGGGAGAAATGTAGGCAACAGCCCTCCGGTTGGGCTTGTTATTGCTGTTTTCTGTGAAAAGGGTTATGCTAGAGGGATACTGGAGGTATACATAGGGACTAGGAATATCCCTATAGATACTTAAAGAGAGTAGAAGAAAATAGAAGGAGTCAAGGGAGGCTTTTTGGAAAGAGATGAGACATGAAAGCAATATTGCAGGATGTTACGCCTTAGCCAGGAACAAGGCATTCTGAAATTCTTTAAAAGTATTAATTGACAAGAGCTACAATTACTGTTCATGCTGACAGTTGTAAATTATTACTGCTGATAAACATTTTGTCCTTGAAAGCCTTTTAGGTGCAAACTCAAAGATACTGAGACACTAATCTATTTCTTAAACTGCTAAGTGGAAACCTCACTTCGTAGCTCTGCCAACAGCAATGTACTTCTGACATCCCAAGCTCACAGGAATAAAAAAAACCACCTGGCAGAATATATATATATATATATATA